AGGGTGTGTTTTCCCACACTGACACCTCCTGCACCATGTGGTCCAAGCACCCAGCCTGGGCCAGCTGCACAGACACCCCTGCTCCTGGCCCCTCCAAGCTGGCTGCCTCCGTGTCACCTGAGATATGGGCCAGAATGGACTGTGTTGCCTTCAGAACCCAGAAAAGCCTAAGGCCCTCTGCTTCCTCCTTTGGGGGGTGTAAGATGCAGCAATTTTACTTTGGGGGGATATCCCAGCATGCCCCTGACCACCAGACCCCTGTGAACTTCCCTGAAGTGCAGGTCTCTGGATTTACATGGAGCTCATCTCCCACCCTTGGAGGCACATGTGTCTCACGGCCAGCACCTAGGCCCCTCTCACCTGTCCTTTTCAGTCAGCATGATGTCATCACTGTAACCATCTGTCTCGCGTCCTGTGGGATGTCCAGGTGGTCCAGGTCTCCTCGGACTATATAAGGACAGAACGGGAGTTAACACAGCCCTGAAGCCAACCGCAAAGGTGTATTACTGTCCCTCCCATGTGAATGGAGATCCTAATCCTCTTTTCTAAATGGGATGAAAAAGAATGTGATTGCCGATCAATGACCTTATTAATCTGCCGTGACCAAGACACCGTGCCCAGCACTGGCAGATGCAGTGGGGCTGCTACTTGGTGAAGCCTCAGGGTCACTCTCCAGGATCTGATGTTCTCTGCAAAGCCCAGGCCAGCTCTTGACCACCCGGAGACATGGCGGCCCACCACACCTGCGTCCTCCAGGCCTCGAGCTCCAGGGAGGCCACGCTGTTTGTGGTTTTCCTTCCAAGTCGTGGAGGGGGCCGTGTTCAAGGTTTGCCCTTGGGCGTCTCGCCTATAATGTCTTCAAGTACACAGGCCAGGATCCCAGTGTGGGGGTACAGTACACACTTGGGGACCAGGGACATGACCCCTGGGTGGTCTGTTGACTAGGGCACCCATAGTGACCAACACGTCAGCCAGGATTCCTTTTACTACTTGGCCCCTCCTCCAACAGGAGGCCATGATGACATTTTTGGGTCTCCAGGAGTCATGTCCACTCAGGTTCTGTGTCCAGTTGTCCTCAAAATGTCTTGACAGCCCTGGCTGGTCACTCAATGGTTAGAGCATCAACCCTTGAACTGAAGGGTCTCAGGTTCAATTCTGGTCAAGGGCACGTACCTCTGTTGCAGGCTCCAACCCCGGCCCCAGTCGGGGTGCATGCAGGAGACAACTAATCAATGTGTCTCTCTCTCCCAGCTCCTTCCACTCTCTGAAAATCAGTGGGGAAAATATCCTCAGGTGAGGATTAACCAAAAAATCCTGACAGTCCCTTCCCCCATGTTCAGTCACTCAGTAAACGCTGTAGGTCTCTGGGGGGAGCACTGGGGTCTATCACAGTATATGTATGTGGAGGTGTGCCCTGAAGTCAACACTTCCGAGTGGAAAAATTAGCTCTAGTCCCAGAACAGGGCCTTCTTACCGGAGCCCCTGCCTCTCCGCTCCTCCTTGGCCACCTACCAGAGCAGCTTGTGCATGTCCACGCTGCTCGGCACGGGCCATCGCCTTCCCCAGAACTGAGTTTGCTCATGGCCTGAGAGCTTGCCAGGCGATTAAGTTCCATGTTCCGAGGAAGTGCCTCCAAGGCAATAATGCTTGCTTCCCATCTTCTACTCGGTGACCCCACATCCTCCCCCGGGGACTGCCCTGGCTCCTGCAGTGGTGTGCTGGCAGCTCCTTGCCTCCCTGATCAGGCCCAGCACGTCCCCACGCAGGTTACACTGGCCTGGCTTGCTGTCACTGGCCTGCCAGCCAGAGGACAGGGTGGGGTGGCATCTGATGAGGGCATCTCATGCCTTGCAGGGCAGGGGACTCAGCATCTCCCAGCACAGAGGAAGTGCTGGCTCTTACAAAGCCCTGAGAGGTCAGGGGCCTGCAGACCCTCGTCCTCAGGCTTCCATGTCCCGGTCCATGTTTTAGAGCAGCGGTTCTCAACCTGTGGGTCGCGACCCCTTTGGCGGTCGAACGACCCTTTCACAGGGGTCGCCTAAGACCATCCTGCATATCAGATATTTACATGACGATTCATAACAGTAGCAACATTACAGTTATGAAGTAGCAACGACAATAATTTTATGGTTGGGTCACAACATGGGGAACTGTATTTAAAGGGCCAGAAGGTTGAGAACCACTGTTTTAGAGTCTCAGGTTATCCCAGCCGGGGTCCTGACCTTCGCAGACCAGCGAGGGCGAGCATTCAAACACCTGGAGCTGGAGTCCTCTCGTCATGTCCTCGTGGGATTTCCCTTCAGGCCAAAGAGGCCTGTGGTCCTCACGCCGAGCCTCACTGCTGGTCAGTCGAAATGGTCTCCCTTATCCCTCTGCAGGGCCCTCAGTGCCTCTCAGCAGCCAACCCACCGCCCGCTTCACACACCTGAGTCCTCACACCCGCAGCTGCTCCCTCCCCCGGGGATGGTTTCCCAGGTCACCCTTGATGAAATCGAGCAACTGGGCCTCCACCTTGTGCTAGGAACTGCCTGTGCCTCCCACACCAAGGACGGCGTCCCCTTCGCCTGCCAGCGGTGGGTGAGATACAGGAACCCCCTCCTGCATTCCGTGTCCCCTGGGCTTCTCTGAGAAGGAGGCGGGGCGGGATCTGATTAAAGATCTATGGGGCACGGCTGTGAAGGATCCGAGCAGGGCATGATGGAGGAGCCTACAGACCACAGGTGAGAGCCCTGTGAAGGATGGGTGAGAGGGAAGGTGAGGGCTTGGTGGGAGGAGTAGCAGGCTGAGGGGAGCACCTGGAGCCAAATCAATCTCTAATTCAGCGGTGCTCAACCTGTGGGTCACGACCCCTTTGGGCAGTGGTTCTCAACCTCGGCTGCACATTAGAATCACCTGGGAATCTTTTTAAAATCCTGATTTCTGTGGCCCAGGTGATTCTAATGTGCAGCCAAGGTTGAGAACCACTGCCTTTGGGGGTCGAACGACCCTTTCACAGGAGTCGCCTAAGACCATCGGAAAACCCATATATAATTACATCTTGTTTTTGTGATTCATCACTAGGCTTTAATTATGTTCAATTTGTAACAATGAAAATACATCCTGATATCACATATTTACATGACGATTCATAACAGTAGCAAAATTACAGTTATGAAGTAGCAACGAAAATAATTTTATGGTTGGGGGTCACCACAACTTGAGGAACTGTATTAAAGGGTCGCGGCATTAGGAAGGTTGAGAACCACTGCTCTAATTGAAGTAGCGGGCCTGTCTTCCTACCCCCGGAGCCCCTGTGGGAAGCCCCCTGTGAGAGGGCAGGTGCATGCAGAGGGCAGCACACAGGCCCTCAGTCAGTGGGCCCCAGCAGCAGAATAGTCATCATCAGGCTACCACACTCATGCACATGCACATGTATATACATAGACACACATGCACTCACATGCTACCAGCTGCACACACACACACTGATACATTCACACACTTATCTACACACACACCCTCTCCAGTGCCCCCTGGCTCCAGGCACCCACAGCCCACAGGAAAGGCGCTGTGGCCGAGGAGAGCAGTGACTGGTGCCCAGGGAGGGGGCAGTGGAAAGCAGAATGGGTGCTGATGGGTGTCCAGCCTGAGGGGCACTGGGAGCTGGACACCCGTGGGAGGCCGTGTGCTGGGGTCAGGACAAACTTGCAGGACTTTGGACATCAGAGCAGGGCATCCTGTCCTGGGGCTGCAGGGCGGCCTGTCCCTCCCCACCCAGGAAGTTGCTCCCCCCTCTGCTTGAACTGTCACTACTGCTGGGCTCACCAAGAACACAGTTGGCTCCACAGACCCCTGCCTTTGGCATCTTACTATCTGGCCAGGAGATGGGAAGTGGGGTGCAGAGAATCAGAGCCCAAACGGAAGGTGTTCAGGAAGACCAGAGGGTGTGCATGCAGGGACACCCCCCCCCCTGCCCCAGCCCAGGGCACACACAGGTGACCAGGACACACACAGGTGACCAGGAAGCTCTGGGGTCTCTCTCCTTTTGGGGCGGGGGGAGACTCAATCAGAGATTTGCAAGGCTGTTCATCTGAGGCTGGAGCTGCGTGGTGTTGCTGCTCCCCCCACCCCCAAGGATGGCGGTGATGTGGCCTGTCCCACAGCCCAGGCACCGAGCCCCCAGTCCCGCCAACATCCCAGCTCAAAGAGAAGCCCTGGTCCGGGGGGCCTCCCGCTCCACCAAGGCCTTGCCAGACTCCTCTCCCAGACTCCTCTCAGGTAGGACATCACCGTGGCCTCAGAGCCCAGCGCCAAGGGTACCTGTGGGGGTTTTGCAAGGAAGAGAGTCCTCACTCCCCACCCAGCGCAACCTGATGCTTTGGCTGTCCTGGTTGCCCTGGCCTCTCCCAGCCAGCCCTGCCCTCTAACCTGCCCTTGTCACCCTCTGTGCAAGGGCATGGGTTCTGATTTTGATTGGTGTCCTTGCAGGAGCTGTCCCCAGACAGAGAAAGGCTGGAACCCCGCTGTGCCTGATCAGGGGACACTGAGCAGGGGGCACTGAGCTGGGGGCACTGAGCAGGGGGCACTGAGCTGGGGGACACCGACAGGGGGTGGGGCGGGAAACTGAGCTGGGGGACGCAGCTTCTTCGAGGGGAAGTGCTGGTCTCCCCTCCTCGGCCCTCGGCCCTTGGCCCTCGGTGCAGGGTGTGGTCCCCAATCCCCAAGCCCCAGTGAACGGCAGGGAAGCGGGTGGGGGCAGCAGGGCGGACGGATGCGGGGGGCGGGGGGGCTCTGACTGCGCCCACGACTGTTTCTGGAGAAGTGGCAGCGCCCCACCCTCGCCGCGTCGGGCTGGGGGTGGCTCTCCCGCTCCCACTGCCTTTGGCCTCCCGGATTCTCCCTTTTGTCCCCCCGCCGCCCGTCCCCCCACCAGCCCATCCGCGGGGCCGCAGCGCCTCCCCGTGGCCGCGCTCCGGGGGCGGGCTGGGAGGGGGCGGGGTGGTATAAAGACGGCGGCCCCTCCCGCGTCCCCTCCCTCCTGCCCACTCGGCGCGGCTCTCCGCGGCCAGGACCTGATCCTCGGACGTGCACAGCGAGGGCGCCCCGCGCGCTCGGGGTCAGGTAAGCGCCCCTCGACCCTGGCCCCGGGACCCACGAAGTGGGACCTGTGGTCCGGCCCCGGAGCCCGGACAGCCCGCCTGGAGCCGCGTCCTGCCGGTTGGCAAGTCCTGCTGGACGGGACAGGACCGTGCGGGACGCGGAGGACCCGGTCCCGGTCCGCGGGCGCCCCGGGTGGGCTCTCCCGGGCCGCGCCCCGACAGCTCTCCCCGCGGTAATGGCCCCCCTTCGCGGCCCCATTTCAACCACTGGGTCTTGGATCACAGTTCCTCACGTCCACGCCTTGGCTGCCTCGGCAGTGGGGCCAGGCGGTGCCGAGTTTGGACTGTCCCCACTTTGGCCTCTTCGGGGAATGGGGCTTCCTCCCTATTCCTGGTCCCCTGCTGAGATGCTGCAGTTCGGGCTGTCTGCTGGGGCCTCACCCCCTCCCTCCACAAGTTACCGAGTAGCTGGAGGGGCTCAGCGTCCGCAGTCAGACCCGGAGCCCTGGGACCTCTGGGTTATCTGTGGCCTGGAGGACACCTTCAGAGGGATTCAGCCCAGTCACCCCTGGGAAGACTCCCCTTTGTGTGGAACTGGGCACAGGGTCTCCCGGGGTGCTGGCCCCTCTCCCCTGGGCTGAGGGAGAGGGCACTCCTCCTGGAAAGAATGGCCCCGATAGTATGATCTGGGGGGAAGGGGGAGGGGGGAGGGGGAAGGGAAGGGGGAAGGGGAGAAACAGGGGAGGCTGGGGTCTTAGATACCCCAAGGGTAGAAACAGGGCGGGGAGTGGGGACAGGTCACACACCCCCAACCTCAGTATCAGCAACAACCCAGCCTTCCCCCCCATTCGTCTGAGGCTGGAGGTGCCCTCTACACCCCTGCCTCCCCCCTCAAAGTCTGCTGGGGAGACAAGCAGGGGGCTGAGTGGTTGCAGCAGGGAGTGAGGTGGGAGCCCAGCTGATCTCACCTGTGGTGGCTTCCCATGCTGGGTGGGGCCCTGTCCCACTCAGCACTCCTCACCCCACCCATCCAGCAGAACTCCAGGAGCCCAGCACCCTCAGGGCAAGGGGCGGGGGGGGGGGGTCAACCTCTGGGAGGCCTACGGACCCTAGTTACATAGTAACTACACAAAACGGCAGGATGTGGCGGCTCAGGTGTTCCCACCTCTCCGCCCAGTGCCCACCCGCAGTATGGGCCCTGTACCCAGCGAAGAGACTGCAGGCTCCCGCGCCCACACCCCTGCTCTAAGCCGCTGTCCCAGCGGAGGGGAACTGCACGTTTAGATGGACGCCAAAGAGAAGGAGGCTTGAGATCCACAGATTTCCCTCGTTTTTTCCTTTCAATACCGTTCTGACCAGGAGGCCATCTTACATCTGCTTAACATCCACGGCCAGGAGGCGGGGGCCGGGCATGTAGGGCTCCAGGAGAGAAGTTGTCTGCCTCGCCTCAGTCATTCAGAGAAAGGAAAGTGGGGCTGGGCCCGGGCGTACGTGACTCAGAACCTCCTGGCCAGACTGGAGGGGCTGGGCACCCGGGGCCCAGGTGTGTCCCCTTGGCTGGACCTGCGTTTCATAGGCCTCTTAAAGCTGCCATGCTGTGCTGTTGAAAGTGACCTGGGAGGCCCGGGAAGACCACAGCTGGTCGGGGCAATTGTTGGGCTCGTCTGCAGGGGAAGCCACAGGGAAGGCAATGTCCAGGGGCAAAGTCGGGCGTGGTCCACTGGGCCACCTGGTCCGGTGGGGTGCAGGCCCCTGCACTGGGCCGTGCACGCCCACGCCCAATGGCGACTCTGCATCGCCAGCCAGCTCGGTGGGCTCTGTTGGGGAGGGAGCCGCGCCCACACTCCGCAGCATCCCGTTTCTCATCTGTGTGATGAGGTCAGGATTGATAGTACTTTTACCTGTGGGGCTGCTAGGGGTCTCCAGGCGCATGGGGTGTAGGTAGGTCAAGTTTACAGCCACAAAAGACTTTGTAATGCTGGCGGGGAGAAAATAGCTCTTAGGATTGTTTTAAACACAGCCCACATTTCAATGGGTCGGTCTCTCTTGTGGCTCCTTCTGCACATTTATACAAAGCAGGATTCATCTGCTCAGTGAACAGGCCCTGGCAGGGGGTTGGGGGGACCCCTCCAAGGGGCACACGTTGGGTTCAGGCCATATCCTAAAGCAACATCCTCCACAGACCCGCCAGGACCTAAAACATGTCAGCACCCACGCCACACCAGCCTCGTGGTGGTGTATTGCAGACACTGTGATGAGCAGGCAGAGGGTGGGGGCCCCAGCTGTAAGGGGTCTCTACTCCCAGTAGAGCAGGGTCTGAGCCAAAACTTCTGAAAGGTGTCAAGGCTTTCAGGGTGGTTGTCAGATGCCCACCAGAGAAGTGGAGAAGGACCCGGGTGTCCGTCCTCAGGTACAGACGATGGGCTGTCTTTTTTCTTATTTGCCAATTTCATGGATGAGGAATGGCGTCTTGTTGGTTTGCGTGAGTTCTTGGTTTTTGTGTGGTTCAACATTTTTGATCACTGACTGTTTGTAGTGTTGTTATTTGCCAGGTTATGATTTCCCCATTTGTCTCATGGGTGCTTATTTTTACTAATATGTAAGCACTTTTCTCCCCCCAATTTTTAAAAATTGTAAAATACACATAACATAAAATTTACTATCTTAACCATTGTGAGTGTATATATAGTTCAACTAGTGGCCCAGTGCACAAAATTCGTGCACAGGGGAGGGGGTGTTCCTCAGCCCGGCCTGCACCCTCTCCAATCTGAGACCCCTCGAAGGATGTCCTACTGCCGGTTTACAGGGGTCAGGCCTAAACCAGCAGTTGGACATCCCTCTCGCAATCCAGGACTGCTGGCTCCTAACCGCTCACCTGCCTGCCTGCCTGCCTGCCTGATTGCCCCTAACCACTCTGCCTGCCGGCCTGCTCGCCCCCAACTGCCCCCCGCTGCCGGCCTGCTTGCCCCCAAATGCCCCCCACCAGCATGATCACCTCCAACTGCCTCCCCTGCCAGCCTACTCACCCCCAACTGCCCCCCTGCTGGCCTGCTCACTCCAAACTGGACCCCCTCGCTATCCTGATCACCTCCAACTGACCCCCACTGATGGCCTGCTTGCCCCCAACTGGCCCCCCTGCTGGTCTGCTTACCCCCAACGGCCCCGCCCCCCACCAGCCTGATCATCCACAACTGCCCTCCCCTCTTGGCCTCTAACCACCTCTACCTCAGCCCCGTCACCATGGCTTTGTCCAGAAGAACGTTCAGAAGGTCTCCTGGAAGGTCTCCCAGTCTAATTAGCATATTACTCTTTTATTAATATAGACTAGAAGCCCATTGCAGGAAGATTCCTGCAAGAATAGGGCTTCCTCGGGCCGATCACACCACCCAAGCCCCGCCGCCCAGGGCCGCAGATGGGGGTCCCGAATGGGGGTGGGGCTTAGGTGGCACATGGGGGCCCGGATGGCGGCTTGCGCTGGCCCGCCCTGCCTGCAGTATGCAAATTAGCCGCCATCTTTGTTGGTGGTTAATTTGCATATCACACTGATTAGCCAATGGGAGGCATAGCGAAGGTACAGTCAATTACCATGTTTGTCTATTATTAGATAGAATAGAGCCATGGTGCACGGGTGGGGGCCAGCTGGTTTGCCCTGAAGAGTGTCCCGGATCAGGGTGGGGGTTCCCTTGAGGCGTGGGGTGGCCTGGGCAAGGGGCCTGTGGTGATTTGCAGGCCAGCCACGCCCCCATGGGGTGAGGGTCCCCGCTGGGGGGGTGTGGCCAGCCTGGGTGAGGGGCTGATGGCTGTTTGCAGGCTGGCCACAGCCCCCGGTGACCCAAGCTCCCAGCCCCTCCTTTTTTTCTTTTTTTCTTCAGCACCTCCTTGAGCGGAGGGAAGCAGGTATCTGGGATTTATTTATCTTTTATAATTGAAACTTTGTAGCTGTGAGTGGAGGCCAGGGCTGGACAGGGCAGGTGGAAGCTTGGCTTCTTCCATCGCTGGGGCCAACCCAAGCCTCCTGCTCGCTCCAGCTCTGTGGCCGCCGCCATCTTGGTTAGATTAATTTGCATGCTTGTTCCTGATTGTCTGGTGGGCGTGGCTTGTGGGTGTATCAGAGTGACACCAATTTGCATGTTTCTTTTTTATTAGTGTAGGTGGTATGAAGTATATTCATACTGTTGTGCCCATCACCACCTGGATCTCCACAATTCTTTTCATTTCACAAAACTGAAATCTGTCCCCATGAAACACTTACTAGTAACTCCCCATTCTCTCCCCCAGCCCCTGGCAGCCACCATTCTACCTCCTGGCTCTCTGATACTAAGTATCTCATGTAATTGGAGTCTTACAGTATTTGTCTTTTTGTGACTGGCTTGTTTTATTAGTATAATTTCCTTGAGGTTTATCCATGTTGTAGTGTGTGTCAGAATTTCCTTCCCTTTTAAGGCTGAATAATATTTCATTGTATGTATAAACCATATTATACTTATCCATTCATCCATCAATGGACACTCATGTTGCTTCCATGTTTTACCCATTGTGCATAGTGCTGCTATGAATATGGGTGTACATATATCTCTTTGAGACCCTGCTCTGAATTCTTTTGAGTATATACCCAGAAGTGGAATTGCTGGATCATATGGTAAATCCACTTTTATTTTTTTAAGGAACCACCATACTGTTTTCTACAACAGCTCTACCATTTTACATTCCCTCCAAACAATCCCAGTATCTCTGAATTCTCCTCAACACTTTTTATTTTCTGGGTTGTTGTTTTTTTATAGCAGCCATCCTAATGAGTGTGATATGGTATCTCATAATTTTGATTTGCGTTTCCCTAATTAGTAATGTTGAGCATCTTTTTGTGTGCTTATGGGCCATTTATAATTCTTCTTTAAAGAAATGTCTATTTTAAGTCCTTAGCCCATTTTTGAATTGTGTTGTTTGGGTTTTCTTGTCATTGATTTTTAGTTCTCTATATTATGGATACTAATCCCTTATCAGAAAAAATTATTTGCAAATATT